CTCTATCCCAGCCAAAACCAGCACAAAGGACAAAAATCTTCCTTAGAAAAATCACAACAGCCTTTGTGAATTGCTGCAATCCCAGTGACCTTAGTGCAACCATTACATGCACCCTAGCAAGCTAACAAAAACATCACTTTGGGTCATGTCTGGCCAACTCTGATCATGGACAGAGCAAGTTATAGATCTGCTGGGAAGGGATAAGGGGATACAATACATGTAAACTTATCTAAGTCTCTGAAATTTTGTTTATGAACAAATTAAAATAAAGTCTGATAACACAGACTGGGGAAAAACAAGTACAAAGATGAGCTACTTCTATGCTCCCAGTTCTTATGGATACATAATGAGCCTTCAGAGAATGAAGCCAAAAAGAAAACAGGCAGATGAAGACAACTAATAAATCAGCTGGCGCAGCTGTTAGGAGGCATGCAGGCCCACAAATACCTTGCGTAATACACCCAAACCTCAGCTTCCAGAATGCAGAGTCAGGTTTCCAGAAACACTGACACTGGAGTGCCAAAATATCATTTCCAAAACAATTTTATCAACAGTGAAATTTTTGTATTAAGTTTCCAACATCAAAGATGCCACTTTGCAGGGGATATCTGTCTCTGTCTTTATAGACAGATTTCTAAAAGTTGTATTTTTCCAAAGCATTTTAAGTTGAAGTGCGGTTGGCTCAGTTTTGACTGAATGTATCGCCTTACAGAGCAAGTGCCACATGGCCTTAGGATAATTTAAACTCTGCGGTCCTGACAGATGTTGTATGACACAACCTCCAAGACAAATATTTTCACTGAAAAATGGCATGTGCCATTCCTTTCCTCACTGTTCACACCTAGTGCTAGAGAATTAGAAAAAGAGAAACCAGAGTGAAACACTAGGACTCAAATGAAAATCAAGTTTTTCAGGAGAGCTTTAATTACTATATTTTTAAGCAAGTATAATTTCTAAGCTATCTCTCTCTCTCTCTCCTGGAACTTCTGTAGCCATCAAACGGAAAAAAGTGACAGTTTCAGTGTTTAACACTACTTCAAAGGTTATTAGATTATCACTAGATTATTTGCCTTCTCTCCCTGTTCTTCTCTCCACTTCCCCCATCTTTTTAATCCATCTCTTTCCGTTTTGTTACTGTCCCTTTATTCCTACTGCATTTACTTTTCATTCATCTCCCTACACAGCATTTTATCACCTTTTACCATGATCTTCTCAAAAGAATACTAGCAGTGCCAGACAGCCATACAGTCTCTGCTACCTTTATAACAAATTTAGGTATCTACAGAAACATTTTACTAATAAAACTAATATATTATTCATATAATGATTTAGAAAGCTTTCCACTAAACCAGATATAAAAGGTGGGCAATTTAAAACTCCCAGCTTTCTGCCACAATTTCCCATACACAAAAACAACACAAATGCGCAGTGTCACTAAGAGAAGCTCTTTGTGGAGAACAGTGTCCCTTACCCTCTTTCCTCTCCCATTCACAATACCCCTTGTGCAGGTACAAGTTTCTTTACAGCCCAGTGGTGAATGAGATAGGGGAATTGATTCCAGCTGTAACTACACTTCCCTTATTCCCTACATTTGCTAAGTGAATGTTAACCATTCTCAGCCGTGAACTGTCTCCTCCCAATACCCGTATGAGATGAGTTGATGAGGCACTCTCCACTTTCCATGAAGCCAGAGAGGCCAACCCTCCAGCAGGGCTCAAAAGGGGACTAATGACATGAAATTCTCATTATGCAAACAAAGGCTACATAAGTTTGGCTGCATTTTTAATTTCTTGTGAGCCTAAGCTTGAATACTTTTCACAGTTTACCCAACCGCTAGCATAAGTGCAAATTTAGACTGTATTAACACTCTTATTTCATCACTGTTTATAATTAGGTGTTCAAAATTTATCACATATACATGCGAGTAGACAGCTGTGGGGGAAAAGATGGTTCATTTACATTTAAGTACCATAATTTCATTTCAGGAAAAAAAAAACAGACCATGAGATTATAAAAGAATACTTCCCTTCATGCATATTAATTCTGTTTTGAAAGCATTCATTTCTTTAAACCAACAGTAACTTTCAGTTACAATGAGTTTTTATATCATAATTTCATTATCTTATAGGTAGTTTAATATTTTTTTCTTATTACATCTTAGTAATTCTCTAAATTCAGCATGACAATTACAGTTTTAAGATTGATTACACCCAGTAAGGAATAGTCTTCAAAAGGATAATTCTAATATTTAAGAAAGAATTCTATCAACTACCAGCATAAAATTATTCTAAACACAACCACTGAAAGATTTACTGAAGCAGAAGCACTAGGTTACATTCTAACATGCAAACTGTATTTCCAGTTTAATCATGGATTGTAACATATTCAGGGATATTATCTGAGTAAGACTTAAAAGAATATCTAAATTAAAAAAAAAAAGATTCCATGATGAAGACAGTTTTTGCCTAATTTTTATGAACTCATGCTAAACTACTATTACTAAGCCAAAGAGACTTACAAGAAGACAAACATTCTCCTCCGCTACACTTTGCTATCCCATCTCTGAAGGGATAAAAATCTAGATGCCAGTTTTGAAACAGCTTCCAAGCTAAAATGACTAACCAGTTCCAACTAAAAACCTATAAAATCAAATTCACCTAGGATCATTTACAGCCATCTGCTCAGAACCATCTTCTCACTAGTCAAAGCCTTATTTCCATATGGTCTCAAAGGTGAAAAATTACTCTTTATTATTACTCTACCTAAACTATAAATGGAAGTCTGTTAGAGTAAACCCAGACATAGTGAACTTTTTGATAAGCTGAACATTTCCTGAAATCTTATTTCTTTCTACTGAATTCCAGAGGGGGTAAATCTTATTACACTGAACAGCACAGGTTAATTTAATGGAAAACACTTTGAAATAAGCCTTTACCATCTGTTTTCACCTCTAATGGCAAATCAAAGAAGAACAATTCACACTTGTATCATTAAAAAAAATGCATAAGTGATTTAAATAGATGTGTTCTTTGATGAATACAGCATGCATCTGTTTGACTTTCTTCACCTTATATCTTAAGCAGGAAGTTCTCATTTTCTAATGTAATGCTCATCACTGCAGTTGAAACCACCACAGTGTAAAAAGAGGATATGCACAAAGTTTCTTATATAAATAATTCCTTACAATGTGAAAGTGAAGCTCTTCAGTAGTTCCAAATTGCCTCTGTGCAGCAAGTGATCTTAACACTACTTCCCTTACTAATAGTTCCTCCTACTCAGACACCAGCTACCCCTCTCAAATTGTCCAATTGATGAACATAAAGAAGATGAACTCAGAACAAGTGCTCTCAGCCAGGACTTTACCTGAATCGTTGCTACAACTGGAGAACGCCTTCTGCACTTGAAGGCTTGTCTTCTCTCCCCCCAAAAACTATGTCCCAGCAACATGCTTTAACTTAAATAACTTAAAATAAAAGATTTATGGTCTTAGGTTAGCTGTATAGAAAGAAGATGACTTTAAAGAACTCTACTGCACACAGGGAAAGGAAGAAAAGTTTATAAATGTAAACAAAAGATCAAGCAGAAGATCCACATAACCAAGCAGCATAAGAAAAGTGAAAATAAATGAGTGGGTAAAAGCAGTTATTATAACATTAAGAAACCCTACAAACCATAGTGAAAACATATGCTATGACATACGCTAATTCTCAGTAGGAATTACTGCAAGGAGGTACAACACAGAGTAGTTATAAAGGGAATTACCTTACATACAGAGAATCTATACAGAAGCTATCTGTTACAGCTGGCACCTCCAGGAGTAACGTGGTGTTAGAGTGACCAGCAGCAGAAAGATCAGAAAAGGGAAAACAGGTGAAGAGGTAAGAACAAAAGATAAAATACTCTGCAATACCCAACACAATGGAACATCAGAGCTACCACTACAGTCCCAACAATCATTAAAAGGAAGCACCATTCATATTATTTACTCTAATACTCATGGGGGAAAAAAAGAAAAAAAACTCTATTACATGTTTCTTTTACAGTGATTTTGTCGTCTGGGAGCAGGAGGGTTTTAAAAACACAATGATAACCTGATGGAAACCCCTCCGTCAGTATGCAGTCCACCTCTAACTTATAGATCATGTAAAAAGTTTTACTCTATTCCAATAATTTCATTTATATATTTCAAATATCATCGCTTACTTTCCATCTCTTCTAAATATGTGAGTTAACAGGCTCAGTTTAACATTTCATGGTATAGTTGTGTGCACTTCTTTCCACACATACTAATTTAGAACAGTTAAAAATCCACACCATTTAGAAACAAACATCCACACAGGTGCCTTTAAAGCATAACACCTTAGTTAAAGCCAAAATTAAATGGAGTTTTCTTTTCTCTGAAAAAAATTTGATGTTACCAACCTGAAATCCCCTTTATTGTTCACAACCCTCTCTGGAGGACAGTACTGCGCAGAACTTTCTAGCACCACAATGTCTACTGTCCTTGTGTTATTCCCACGTCTGGTTTGTACATGGCAACCCCAGTTTCCTGTGGAGCCAGCCTGAATGTTTGAGATTGTCAGTGCACTGGGAAGATAAAATAAACAAAAAAACCCAACGGTCTGCTAATAAAATTTATATAAGCTTTTAGCAAAAGACGAATAAAGCACAGAAAGACAACGGAAGAAACAACCAATTACATACAACTGTCCATGATCTTACAAAACCAGAGTTATCTATGAATCAATGTACTGTAATTAACAGAGAAATATTTACTATTCTTCTAGCTCTCAATTTTGCCAAGGTAGGAAAGAAAAAAAACAGCCATGGGAAAAAATTCCTTAACTTCAGAAAGACGAGATGAGAAATCCAAACTCCCCAAGTGTTACCATTGCTCTTCAACACAAAATTTTTATAGTTGTTCCAGAACGGCCAAACTAAAATAACTCCCCAAATGCATGATTTGTGATGAAGTTAGAAGCCCTAATTTACTAATACAATTACAGGATATATAACCACTCTGTAGATGCTGAATGAATCAAAAAGTCTGCTGCAGGCAGAATAAATTATAGATCTCTGCTGGAGAACTTCAATATTACCAACTGTGGTATGCTCAAAAGGAAGAGTAAAGAATCTCACTTAAATGCCTTGTTTTCATAATTTTCATATTCCAAGAGAACAAATGTATCTTACCACAAACATATTTTACATGAACTGCATTAGGTAATCCTTGGAGATAATTAAAACCCAACTGCAACAGTCCTGGGAAACCTGTTCTAGCTAACCCTGTTTTAAGCAGGTGGGTTTGACTAATCAAATCTCTAGACCTCCCTCCTCAAATGTGATAGTTAGCAACAGTAACCAAACCCAGGTAATTTAAGAGATGTGTGAAGTTACAGGCTACTTCCCTGCTTGGGAAGTTTCTTTCTACATATGTTCACTCAGCGAGAATATGAGAGGGCCTTACTGGCTACGGAAATAGTCACTAAATCAGAGCAGAAAATAAGGAATGGGAAATACATTTTCTCTTTATGGATTCACCTTGCAATCAGCGAGCAGTTATGAATCATGTTTTTTTCAACAAAAATACCCTGGGACTCATCAGTTTCCACTATCTTTCCATCCTGATACCATAAGACTTGCATGTCTTGATCAATATACGAAGCCATACATTGGAAGGGTAGACTATCTCCTTCAAAGACAACCTGACGGTGAGATGGAGTCATATAGAAAGATGGTAATTCAAGCGGCGGTTCTAGAATTCAAGAAATAAAAGCACAATTAATAGCAAGAATCTGTTATATACATAATTTTCAAAAGAGGAGAAAAATACACTGAGTATCAATTATTGATATAATCTTGTAAGCTGCATCTTGCAAGATTTATATAAAAACTACATTTGATGCATCAGATATTGAAAATACAAATTCTCATCATATTCTTTTTCAAAACGTGTATTCCTTTAATGTAATACATTTCAAAAATCTTTTGCTAGCCCACATCCAAAAGAGTGAAAAATATAAACTTGAATGAAAAAAATACATTTATGCATTTTATTTCTTCACTATTTCCCACTATTAATATTTCCAAATCACAAATACATATGTTTTATTATTTTGACAGATGGAATAACTCTAATACAACAAAGAAGTTAAGCAAATTGGTCATGGTTTCATCACAACAAGAAGGCTAATCAACAACAGAATAACCATGTAGGAAAGTAAGTCATAAAATAAAGACCTCAACTTCAGAATTTGGGCTTGGAATAATTTGGAAGTTGGAGAGCTAGACTCTGGAAAAAAATTATCAGTTTCTGATTCCTGTTGTGAAGATTAGGTAAAAATCCCTGAAAAACATGGATTAGCAGGAAAAATGAGTTTATCTCCAGAGGGTGCCACTCATCCTTAGTTTCTACAGACTAACATCCACAATCACCAATTTATTTATTATTTATTTCCAAAACAAACAACACTGAATCATGACTAAAGATCAGCTTTTGAAAAAGAATCACTATTACCACTATCATGTAAGTGCTGAATTCCAGGGAAACAAAACAAAGCATAAAAGTCTGTTCACTAGTATTAACAGAATATGGAATGCGTTAGAAAGTAAGTATCAGTTGTCAGGAGTGCTTACCGCAGGTCAGAAGCTCCTGCTTAACACCAGTCACCGTCTGCGACTGAAGTGACTTGGGATAGGCACATTTAGTTTCACGTACAGTTATATTTCTTTCTTTTAACCACTGATGCATCCACAGTATGTTGCAATCACAAAGAAGATAATCAGTCTGAAATTCTCTGCAACACAAAATAGGTATTCACAGTGACAAAATGCAACACTCAAAGGTCTGAAAGCTTGACATCAACAGCTGTACAATGCCTCTCATTGTCACGGACACACAGACAACAAGCAGTCAAACCCCAGAACACAGCGGAGTTGCCTACCACTACGTATTGGAAGATACTCTAACCCTCTGCAAGACATGGTCTTGCAAAAGAGAGAGAACAAAAGTACACACTCCCTGAGAAAAGGAATCTTCTCCATAAATATGAGGAACATCTAATACCTGCGCATGAAAAAATTTCTAGTAATTTCTTTCATGGAGGGAGTTTACGTTATTTGATTTTGCTTTAACAGTAAAATCAACAGAAATATAGAAACAGCCTCTCACCTATTTCTCTTTTCAGAACCACTATTCACACAATTTTAATGATAGTTTTATTCTGCTTTATATGAAAATCATATAAGGCTTTTCATTGATTCATAAAGTCTTCTCTGTATAATTTAATACTTTCTACTAAAAAGACATACCAAATCCCCCCATAGCTATGTTGTAGTCAGCTAAATTAAAAGAGAACATAAATATTTTATCTGTTTAGAAACAGTTAAAAATGTATCAAAACGTATCGCTGTGTCTACACTGTTTTTTACCTCCAAACATAATTTATTTTTCTTTTTGCAAATGTCTAGAGGATAACACAACATCACAGGCAGAACACTTCAAACACTAAATCAAAATTCCTGTGAAATTCCATTTGGTTTTTGTTCACAGGAATTCCTCCAGACACATACACTTTAGTAGCAACAGTTACATCCAAGTTCTCTTGTCAGACCTGTGATGTTTTTGGACAGCAACCCTTATGTACACAATTAGAATACCAGGAATAACAACTAATGAACAATTAAAAGAAGCTAGAGGAGGGAAAGAAACATTTGCCTTTATAAACAAGAAATTAACTCTGTGTCAAAGCCAGAAGTCAGAGCTTTTGAGAAAGTCCCAGCACAGTGAGCCAACTGTCATGACTTCCAGGGAAAAATGCAAGCTAATCATCAGCACTCAATTTTTTTTCATTTGCTTTCTTTCTTACACAAGATTACAATTCTCATGAAATTAAAAGAGAAAAAAATAACATAAGGTTGAGATGTACCCACTGTTACGTGTAACAAAACCATACTGTTCTTCAAGGACCAAGATATTCCTTAAAAGTATTTGTCCCCTTTGTTAAAAGAAGGTGTAAAATGCTATTTATTTAATATAAAGTAATAATCGATGCATACGGAATAAAACTTTCAGAAGCCCAGATGCCAGTATAGCTTTATTTTCTCAGAACTATGTAACAAATACTGAGCATCTTTTGAAGACAGTTATATAAGCAACCAAATAACTGTACATACATTTCCCATGCACTTATTCAGATAAAGAAACCACTGTTATGAGGTTTAAAAGTAAAAATGCAAAACTGTAGTACAAACAAGTGTATATAAAATGGGTTTTGTTATGAACACAAATTATCATGCAAATTAAGATTAGATGCAATAAGTACTTACAGAGACTTTAGTGAACCAAGATGATCAAATGTTCCCTGTGTAAGTGTAGAAAACAGATTTCCAGAAAGATTCCTAAGAAATAAAAGTATCATGATTTGAATTCATGCTCAAGCAACTGACATTTGAAATAAAAAAAAAAAAAATTCCTCTTCATAGTCATAGTTCACAAGACTGTAAGAATAATAATCAAGTCTGATAGCCTAGCAAAAATCCCAAATTAAACTGTTCCCCAATACTTCTTTTTTGGTTGATTGGGAACAAGGATTGAAAACAAATACTTTATTTTTATTTAAAGCAACAACTAGCACATGCTGAGCATACATTTCAAGAAGTTTAAAATTAACTTCGTTGTTCACAGAGAATTGATGTGTTGCTATTAACATGCTATAAAAAGCATGTTTGGTCTAGCAGAATATTTTTCAAAAGTATTATACATCCCACTTTCTCTGTATCAGTGAAAGCACTGCATAAGAAGCAAACAACCCGGGCAAAGAAACATTGCATAATCTTACATGTTATTTTCTTAAAGTAAATGAAGAACTACAAAATGTGCAAGAAAGCCAGCAAAACACAACCATACGGATGCCATGGTAGAAGGCACAGATATTAAAACATTCTATAACCCTGAAATATTTTTCTAGGGAAAATATTTTGTACAGTCTGCTATTCTCCCCCCCCTTCTACCCCTCCTATACCTTCTAAGAATCTGGAAAATGGTTGTAAAGCAGACAGAGCACCGAGTAGTATGGTTTTGGTCATGCATACGCACATGGCCCCCCCCCCCCCCCCCCCCCCCTTTTTTTTTTTTTTTAAGCTTGCTACTGAGTAACAAGTAGCAATCACAGCCATATTGCATCTCTTTCAGGCACACACTTAAAACAAACTACTCCCACTGAAACAAAGAATGTTAACTTACATAAGACTAAAACTTAAGAAGTGAAATTATATACAACAAAATTATACTTACAATCTGATAAGATTTACAAGTCCTCTAAATATATCTGCATTCAGGCAGCCTATTCTGTTATTAGTTAAGTCTCTATAAATAGGAAAAAGCAAAAATCAGAATAAACTGTTTTATTTCCAAATGATATACAGTCTGCAAACAGAAGTATTTCAACTAAAATTCATGAGTAACAGATTGCACCATATATACATTTAGTCTTTTTCAGCAAAACCCAAAAGGTACTGCTATATGGGTGGACACACATGCACATAGAGTCCTTATTCCATTTCTAAAGTAACAACAGTTTGCCATATACAATTAAATGAGCTTATCCTTACCAGTAAATCCCCTTAGAATAGGTTTGGCTTACATCACTACAAAGTAAATTTTTGTATTTGTACAGTATATTCATCATATGTGCCACATCACCTAATTTTTTGACATGCCAGAGAGACCTATACTAGTCCATTTATTGTACATAAATAGGACCACTTCTATATTTATACTTACATAAATATTTAAATATTCTATATTTTACAATGTAGGTCTTAAATCAAATTGCCAAAAATTCTTAAAAGAATAAAAATTAAGCTTGCAAGTACTAATGGTCCAGAATTGGTCCTTCAGCTTTATTTTTAAGGTTTTCAGTGAGCCAGATCATCTGATCAGTGCTAAAAATTTAAAAAGGAAAGCTGTATGCTGACTAAAGGTGGGGGCGGGAGGAGGGCGGCGAAATCACTAAGACTTAAAAGCTGTCCCAGATATGTTGCGAGAATCTGAAGAGTGCTTTAAAAAAAGGAAAAGGAAAAAAAGAAAAAAGAAAAAGAAGGCCATCATGCTGAGGTCTTGTTTTTCAAGTTTCATCTGGGACAGAATTTTTACTGTCAAGGTATAAATCCCCCAAAAATGTGTTAATGGGAATGTTGGCACAACCTTCAATAAAGCAGCATTAACAGCGCTGTAACTTCAGTGTAGTATTAATAGCAAGGGACTGTGTTCCACTATGACCTTTGGAAAAAAAAAAAAAGAATCATGAGGAGTTTAACATTTAACAAAGCAAGACTTGATGGCATCAAAGCTCTGAATGAATGTTCACCCAGTGATGTTTCAAGTCACCGAAATACAAAAAGGGAGGAATAATACAAGAGACTGTCAGTAAGAATAAGTGAGACTGCCAAGCCACAAGCAGTGGATGTTCTTCAGTCGTAAGACTGAAAGCAGACTTTGTTTTATACATTCATGTATGTGTATAAATTTAGACAGCATATAAATATTCAACTTTTAATATATAATAGTTTTGCTGTCTATAAATTTCCAGAATCTAAGACTTACTCTACTCTCAGGGGTTTTTGTTTGTTTTGTTTAAAACGACTAGCTAGATATACCACTTACAGTCTTTTCAGAGATGAAAGTCCCAGAAAAGCTCCTGGATCTATAGTACTAATAAGGTTGTTCTTAAGGTCCCTGCAGAGAAAAATTAAGACGTTACATTTATCACAAACTACCCCTTAAAACAGATATACATGCATGAAGATACATTTAACTTGTCTCAACTTGTTTGAAAACTGCCCAAAAAACCCATACAGCACTTTTCTACTTTCTCTAACATAGTATCTTTCAAAATTTGAAAATCTGTATTGTAACTAGAAAGAGGAATATAAACAGCATGTGTATTCCTTTAAATATTCTATCAGTTCCTATCACATGAAACAGTATAGAGTCAAAGATACTTTGCCACGGTGTCCGAAAAGATTACAGCTGCTCAGGGTGTAACATTTGCTCATTACACAGTACAATACTATTTAGCACAGTGTTGTCTTCTTCAGCCTACCCATTTTAAATACTTCAGTAGTGCCCAACATCTATCAAAAGAAGCAAAACAAGATCCTAAAAATACACCAAAGACACAACATTGAAAGTTTCCACCAATGTTACTGGCACAAAAGCAAAGCCCTGGCTGAGAATCCCAAATACAGCTGGTGAAAAAGCTCAGAGTATTTTTAAATCTTAAGTTTCCAGAATAGGAGATTGTAAGGAGAAATGTAAAGTAACTATGTCATTAAACTGCTTTATTAATTTTACACATGATATAGCAGTTTCAACTCCTAACTCGAGATATTTTGCAGATACAGCTTAATTTGAAAGGTCACAGAAAGCATCTGCCAGCATCTACACAGTTTTGAACAAACTTTATCACTGCATGAATGCTAAAATTATTTCCACCTCCTTATCCATCCAAGTTTTTTACTATACTATTATTTGAAACTTCACAGGCACTTACTACTACAAGGAAAATTTCTCAGTCCTTGGTAGTATGTGAACGTTCTGCACTTGAAAAGAAAACTGGTAATTTCAATTAAAAGCAGTGTTTTAGTAAGCAAAGGTAGAAAAAACATCTCCTAAATCTACCACAACATCAATAATTCTGCCCAAAAGAGAACAGTACAAGAGGATTACATCTACACAGACATGCATGAGTGAAAAAATAAATTCATCCCAAGATTTCACAATAGCATTTCCTGCAGCCAGATTAACAAATCATGGTACAACAGACAGTGTCATGGCACACGGATCATGCTTCAATGCCGTACCTAATAAATATTTTAAATACTTGAAATACTTTAAATATTTTAAGTTTACCTTGCAGTCCAGTAAATTAATTTTCAATAAAACAACGACATATACACACACTTCTCTTATCTCAACTTTATATTCTTGCCCTGTATGGTGTCAGGGACTGCCAACTACTTCCCAAGCAGTATCACAAGCCTGAAGAACCGTTAATGTTTTTAAACCTCTTTCAGCAGGCTTATAAACCAGTACAAATCTGAGAATACTGAATGTTAATCACCACTTATTTATTGGGACAGGGAAGAAAAATGATACCTACTGTTCATATTTTAAATTTCATTTTAAAATCATGTAACTCCCATTTAAACTTAAAATCTCACTGTGGAAAACACTCAGGGAGAAAAACCTTGACAACATGCCTTGGAAATCCACTAGTCTAGATTATCAGTGATCCTTAATTTCATTACTTAAACTCAAAGCATACTCCTTGATACACCTCTTTCTTAAACCCATTGCTTCAGTGGAAAGAAACAATATAGTTCTAAAATTAAAAGCAAGAGTTTTAGTAGGTCCACAACCTGTTTACAAATTTTGTTAATTAGTTGATAAAAAATGACCAGTCTATTCATTATGTAATTTTTTGCTTTTTTCCCCTCCCCTTAGTAGGTCTTAATATCAGTTCCAGAAGGATAATTACACTAGAATTAAGAAATTATTTTTAAAAAGAAATGCCAACAAGTTTCATCTTTTCATAACACTCATTCCATATATATTCTGTATTTTGCAAATAAGATAGCAAAGCATTAATGAACCACCATACTAAAGGAATTTTTAAAAAACACCCTGAATGCCCAAAGTGTTAGCATTTTCTCAACCTGCAACTATAACAGTTGGGGAGTCTCTGGGGGTTTTCCCCCCCTCCCAGTGGCAGTCATTAGTAACCACTAGCTATGTATTCATCTATCAAAAAGTATTAGCAGACGAAAACTGTGAAATATAAGAGATATTTAAAGATCTCAAAATTAACACAGTGCTGACATGTCTGGCAGCTCTTCAGAAACAGTAAAAGATGTTGATACACAGGCTGGTGCAACTGCCAGGACTCCTGTATCTAGGACAGTTTCTAAATGAAGAAATGATAGTTGTGGTTAAACCAACAGACTGATAGGATTCCTACATAAAAGGGAGGTGGGGGAGAAAATCTCATTAGAAAGTTGTGTTTGGCTTTAAATTTTTGTTGTTTTTAACACATATAAATGTATTTATACAAACTACAGATTTTTAGCAACAGGAATTTACTCATCTCAGCTGCTGATTTTAGTAATTTTTCTTTGACAAAGCTCAACCAACAGGATATAGTTATTGGTATTTATTTGTCCGAATAAAAGAAAATCTGTCCAAAAGAAATCCATTAGAAGAGGGTTTCAGTTAGGGTAATATTACAACTTCCTCATATAGTCCAACTTCTGGATGAAAGCACAACTAAATCAGATCAACTGCCCCGCTGTTATGACCAGTGAAGTCCTGAAAACCTCGAAGGATGCAGATTTCACCATCTCATCACCCAACTCTCTAAGTATTTAACCATTCTCATTATGAAGAATTTTCTTATGTCCAATTGGAACAGCCCTTTTTCAAATCCATTATTAAGTGGCCAAATAGCAACTTACCAACAGGCAAAAATATTTTTAAGAGCCTGACAACTGCACCTAATGTTATCTTGTTAAGAAAAATATCTTAATGAAAGAACACTTAAATGTAACTATGGTTTGCCATGTAAAAAACAAAATCTTTACATTTCATTAGAATTTACAATGAAACGTTTCAGTGGCTAGTCGTCTATGACTTAAAAGTGCACAAATACATACTCAAAAATTACTTATGTACGAATACATATTACTTATAACTTACTGCTTTCTGTCTCAGCACAATGAAGATTGTCTTAATTATTACTAAAGCATCCTGCAGGCACAAATAAACGATGCATATATATACATACTGACACATATATACATTATTTAGCGCTCTCAACTACCATTAGATAAGCTATCTTTCCTTCCTGAACAGAACGTGAAAATGAACGTCGGACAAAAAACACATTAGCTACCATGGACTCTTAGTATATGAAATGCCTTTTCAAAAAGGAAACGGGGGAAGAGGACAAAGAAATTACAAAAATAGGTTAAACATTACATAAAGTCAGCCTATCCCTCCCACAGCTCTATGGGGTGTAGATTTTATGCAGGCAGATCCAATAAATGCTTATGACTGATTAAACAATTTTTATGTTTCCTCATCATTCACTGTGTATGATTTAAATTCTACCCTATACATGCATAGGCTTTCTCCCTAAAATATAGCAGGCTGTATTTATTTTGAGTTTTCACCATCCATGTACCAAATATTTAGGGTACCACCAAAACTGCTGATAACTGGAAGCCTGGGTCTCAGATGTAGAATTCTGCTTTTAGGTCACCATATTCAAATTGTATGTGAGGATCAAGTGCTGCTGGAGCTGTTTCACCAGGTTCAAGTAACTGTCCCTAGGAAAGGAAAACTGGCTCAAATCTATGATTCCAATGATATTAGAGCAACACAAGAATAGAAAGGAACTGGAGTGTCCAGGTTTGTAAGGAACCACAAAAGAGGAGACAACAGACAGTTCTGAGACTTGGATATTTTCCAAATGGAAATTAAAAAGTTGTTACTAAAAATCATCTCTTGACTTTTTGAAAAGTTCTTACATATGCTTTTGACATCCCCTTGCATCTACAGAAATAGACAGCAACTTGGATCGCTGTGTTTTGCTTATGCCATCACATCACCTATGACATGCATTGACGAACTACAATAGTCAAAATTTCTTGAAGATGTAATACAAAAAAGATTTAAAAAAAAAAATGCTTGAGACTACCACACTTCTGCAAACTAAACAAAAGCTATAACCTAGACAAGAAAACCTTTTTGTTTCCTTCAAATAATTTCTATACTTCCAACAGGTCAGAATACTCCAAAGCATTCAGTTTAACAGCACAGATTTTTCAGCAGAGACTAGAAGCACATTTCCCCCGCCTCACCACTCATCTTTCAAAAACTACTTGAAAACCAGGTGAAGATGGGGAAAATAAATATTTTGTTAGCCTAACACTCTCAGTCTTCTCCTGAAAGAGCCACAGCTAACAAAGAGATGGAGCTTCCAGAATCAAAACCAGAACTAAAGTTAGAACAGAAAACAAGTTCCTGAATATTCATAAAACTGTTTCTCTGCTCAGCAATATTCAAACAAGAAATACTGACAATTTCCAATCACTTTTAAAGATTTCCCAAAAAAAAAAGTTCCGGACCACCACTAGAAGAACTCAGGTCCATCTTTTCACATGCTCTGCTGCACTATCACAAGAAGAATTAAAATCAGAAATTGTTACTGTCTGAGGAAGTATCAGATGCTGCTCTTTTTATTTAAGGCATCCATATATCTGTACATTAGTGCTGTAAAAACAGGAGAAAAACAAATGAGGCTGTCTACAAATAACACTCCCTTCACACTGCATATTTTCCCTTTTCAAAGGTATATTAGTATATCCTAAAAATACATTGGTAAACCCTTGTCATTATTTACAGTTCAATAAATATCAAACCTTTCTTTTGCCATCTAAATATCTTACTGAATTCCATTCCTGTCTCTTCCTTCTCTCTCTCATGCACAATGAAAAATAGTACTTTATAAATGCATAACGTAATCTTTCTTATCCTTGCAAAAATCAACAGGGAGCATTAGCTAGCTGCTGGATGGAAGGCAGCAGTTTGCTTCTAAGTTGCTGGACTTTGAATAATGCTATATAAAGTCAAGTATGTACTAGATGAAAAATTACCTGTCACGAATTAGTTATGCGAGAAGCTACTTCAACATTTAAACTGCAGGAAATTCATAGCAAAACACAGCATTAATAAAGTCCGCGGAGATTAAAATATTTAACATCTTTTTGTACAGACACTTTAATTACCATTTATGGCAGTAAAAATCTTTGACCTGCTTACTGTTATTCAGCTACTATTTGCATGAATTTTTCCTGTAAGAGTAGATGTAGACATAGCATTGTCATTTTCCACTATAATTAACAAACATTTAAACCTCCAGTAAAACAAAACTCTTATTTTGGTAATTTTATCACCCTGTTTACAAAATAATGCATTACCAAATTCTACATTTTCATAAATTAACATATGTGCACAAAATTATTAACAAACAGATTTGAAATTCCTACTTGGGGCCAGCATTTTTAGTGTACTTCCCCATTGTTCTGGGGCGTACAAGCAACAAATAAAACAATCTCTCCCTTTCAATAGTAACAGTGAAGCATTGTCAGATGGGGGATGAGGTCAAGAGATAACATGTTTGAGCAAAAGGATAACCTAAAGGGAACAATTTGCCAGATGTAGATACCATATGCCCAAGTTTATCTGAAGAACTGAAAAAATATCAGAAGCCATTTAAAAATATGTAAATTTTCATTAAGATGTCCAAGAACTAAACAGGAGAAAACAAGTTTAGTGTGTTAACAGATGAACTATGAAGTTGTGAATCTGTATTTCAGGTTTCAAAATACTGATTAAAATGCAAGTTAAAACAATTATAATGCAAATACATGTTCCTGACATATTAGCTTTTTTTTAAAGGCTTTGGTTAAATATATCTACACATCTAAACTCTATCCAAAAACCATTAAGGAGAAATGGCAAAAATATTTGCTATGAAGTATAAAATCAAAAGGAATGAACAAACAAGCATTAAATGCATACAGAATCTCTCCCTTGGTGAGCAGCAATGTTAAGTGACAATGCTACTGTCTGAATTAACTATTTAAATGCTGACTGAATTTCTTTTATCTCCATTTAATCTCTTAAATTAGAAGTGGGGAAAAGAGCATATCTACAAAGAAAGAAAACACTCATAAGGAAATAAGGGGGAGTATGAGTAGTAAGAAAAAATAAAAATAAGCAAGAATGGCAAAAAAGCGCGATTTTAAAGGCATGCAAGTTATCACAGTGAACTTTAAGGAATATAACTTGAAACTGCTGAAAACTTGAAACTGCTGAACATGTTAGTGTTCAAAACAGTTACCATGGCTTTCAATTTTTTTTCCTTTTACTATTGACTATTCATTTAAGTTTGAAAAATTGTTTTAATTACAAGAATAGCTTCTGTCCAAGGTCACATGAGCTTTTAAAGCAGAAGAGTATACTTTTACTGTGGTTAAATAGTTTTTTAAATAAGTCTTGCACAAAAGAAAAAAGAGATTGGCATTAATGACTAGTGTATCATGTTAGTCATCCCTTCCTTTATGATGAAGACACCTGACCATTAACAATCATTTGTTGATGTATTAACTCCTACACCAGTGCACATAAAGTGTGTTATCTCATTCAGATGAGACCACTATACCATCTAAAATACTGCTATCCCAGATCACTTTAAATGCTCAAATCATGCCTTACTTACTGCTTTCTTTTCCTTCTCATGAAAGAAGATATTAAAATAACCTAAAAAGTCCTTACAAATGACAGGAGTTAAATGGATGAAAGCTGGGTTCTTATAATTTTAAAGAAAATTAAGATTTGGATTCATAGAGCAAATGTAAATGATCATCTCAAACTAATTAGAGTTTCAAGTATTTCCTGTCTGAAAATTGTAATGAGTTACAACAAATAACAACTGTCAGCAGATGCCTTTATTACCTAGAGCAAGGATGCCAAAATAATGTGTGAAGATCTAGAATGCCTCACTGCTGATAACGTAGCTTCTTTGGCACAATGGCTTATTTCTACAATAAAGCTCATCTGCCAGCGCAGAAGACAAATCTTTCTTCTGGCATGTGGGGGATGGAACAGTGGAAGTGTTTGAATTTATTTAGGCCAGGTGACCGGGATTGCAGCCTTCAAGTTTTAGAGGAAGAATAAAATACTTTTAATCCCCTGAAGCCAAAAGTCCTTTGGAACTCTTCCTAGATGTTGTGAGATGATTACGAAACTGGCTACTTTCCCAGTCAAATGGCCTAGAAAAATCCTTATCTCTAAAGTTTCTGCTTGCTCCCAGGTAGATCAACCTGCCAATCCTGACCTTCTACCAGCTGGAAAAAAGCTGACTGCAACAGAAGCTACAATGCTTCTTCTGATCCCATAGGTCATATATCATCTGAAAGGGAAAGTTAAAACAGGAAGCAAAAGTTGTCAAAGAAGTTACTCCCATCAGGCTCACTCCCATTTTTTTCCCCCATACATTCAGTATATACCGAAGTTGTAAAGTAAGCAGCAAAACTGTTAAAATAAACATCAACAACAAACTTAAAATGCATTTAGCCTCTTTTAGAGGCTCTAATACATCCGCTTCCCCTACAAATATACTTTGATAAAGGGCCTGACACTTCCTAAGAAATTAAAGAAATAATTTTCTTTACAACATAAGTTTTCATATTACGAGGCCAACAACAACAAAGCAAATGCAGTCATCACGGCATTCCAGTGAACTTCTCACTGAAACTGCCCCAATCTCTCACCCGGAGGTGAGATTATCCCTTTATGCTGTTACATGACATTCATATTCACGAAGAGAATGCTTAACTATGTTAACTCTTCAATCACAAAAAAAAAATATCAAAATAAAGTAAGAACACATCTCTTAAATAAGACATTTTGTTCTCAGAATTATTAATGAAACATAAACAGTATATCACTTAATTTTTCAAGTGAAAATAGCTTTTTAAGAAGTGCTTACAATCTTTCAAGAAGGTTTAATCCAGAGAAGGAACCATTCTTCAACTCTGTTATTTTATTGTTACTCAGAATCCTGTAAACAAAAACGAACAAGAATAATACATTATAAATTTGGTAACAAAATTATTTGCTGCAGCTTACATTTCTGGTGTAAATCTTTCTGTTTAACAGCCTTTATATCAAACTGCAATGCCTAGCTCATTGTCTGAAGTGTATATAACCGCACTGCTTAAATATTATGAAGAAAAAAAAAAAAGATGATTTTCTGTTATGTGCCCTAAGTACCATGCAAGCTTACACAACTAACATATGAAAGAAAGTACACCCATATAGGATTATCATAATAAAACACCAGAATTGGCATAATAGAAAATGAATCTACACATTCAACATTCTGTTCTTCCATACCCATTTTGGTTTTCAAAACCATGTAGCGTATCGCCTGTTTCCCATTTCCTCTGCTGCCACCGTCAGCCGCTCACATGCGCTTACTTCTCCCATGTTGTGCCACCTTTCCCCAGCCATTCTTCACACATTCATCTTTCTCCTCAATGCAATCTTTTTAAGACATCTGCAAATAAGCTCAGCAAGCAGTCCTTTACTTCTATCTATCCTTTCTCCTTAAGGACTACACAACCGCAAGTTCCCTCTTCCACACGAATAACTGGATCGGGCCCATCTAGCCAAGTATCCTACTCTCCAATCACAGCCATCTGCAGATGCAAATTACCCTCAAGTTAGGAAATCCCTTGTATAGCTGGATGCTTCCTTACTTAGAAGGCCCTGCTTTCTATACAGCTATGTATTTCTCTATCACAAAAAAGCCTATTTTCCTTTTGAATCACGTAAAATTTTGGCATCCACAACACTCCTTACAAAAGATTTCGCAGTACAAAGCTCCGTTCCACAAAGAACACCTCATCTCATTTGTTCTGAACACAGCTCCTACTAGCTTCATTTGATGCTCCCCACTTCTTACACTGAAACAAGCAGTAATCAATCCCTACCTACCCTCTCTTTTCCATGTGTAATTATGTAGAAACCTAGATGGCCTCTTGCCAGATGGAAGATTCATATTTTACTTAATTACTCTTCACACGGAAGTCATTTTGTGCCACCTTAATAATTTCTGAGCTCTTTCCAGCTTTATTACACTCAAAAAATTCTGAGATAATACCACCAGAAATGAAACAGTACTCAACACACAGACAAGTCACAATTCTACATAGTGGGATAATGATGTTCTGTTTTGTTTCCTACTATTTTCCTAGCAATTCCTAACATCTGATTTGCCTTTACCACTTGCACTAAGAATTGAAGATTTCTGGTCAACTTAGCACCCATCATCTATATATGAAGACAGAATTGTTGTTGTCCCCAACGCAATTTTCATTTTTCTACAATGTGCTGCTTCTGCCATTTTATTGCCTGATCATAAACTTCTCCAAAATTCTTCACTTTACCCTCATCCTTATTACATCAAGCAACTCACCAAACTCGGTCAACCCCCTACTCACACTGTTTTACAGGTCATTAAGAAGTACGTTGAGCATTACAGGTCTCTAGGACTCCACTCCACTGAGAAGGCTTTTTACTTCCACACCCACTTCTTATCCTTCAGCAAGTTAGCTGTTCATACAATTATTGTCCACTTTAGACTGACATACTATTTTCATCAAATGCCTTTGGTGAGGGACTGAGAGATGCCTTTTGGAAAAGCATCTATGTCTCATTATATCAACTGGATCATTCTTGTAAATATTTTGCTGATTCTGAAGAACTGAAAGGTTTGTGGGGAAGAGCTTCCCACTACAGATGCAGATTTTCTAAAGTACATCTCTCTCTCTTTATCCAGGTATCCAATATATTTATGATAAATTCTACTGATTTGTTCAACACAAACATCAGACTTGGAATCATGTAGTTCCCCTAAACTCTTGATGCACTTATAAAAATCAGCATTTGCCACTCCTCCAGTCCTCAAAAATCAAGTTCATTCTAAGCAAGACTTCAAACATTCATCATTTGACTTTTTCATCCCTGAGTTCTTCTAAAAGCTCACCAATGCATGCCATCTTGTCCTGGGAATTTATACACTCTGTCAATTTGTTCCACAACTTATGCTACAGTCACTTCAATTTCAGACAGGTCCTCTATCAAATGCATCCTGCAGATCCAACATGTCCGTGCACTTCTTCACTTACACCTTCAGGCTGGGTAACTACTGCCACACTTACAACTGCCACTAGGAGATTTCTTTCCAGTCTACTACATCTTTCAGATATCCTTTACAATAGCCATAAACCAAACACCCCCCCCCGCCCCCGGCTCTTTCCTCCGGTGCGTAAAATTTATTATCTAGTGACAAGGATTAGTACTTCAAAACACATCATGAATAAGATTGTCCTGGTTTTGGCTGGGATGGAGTTGATTTTCTTCCTATTAACTGGTATAGTGCTGTGTTTTGGACGTAGTACGAGAATGATGTTGATAACACACTGATGTTTTAGTTGTTGCTAAGTAATGTTTACGCTAGTCAAGGACTTTTCATCTTCCTGTGCCCTGCCAGGTGTGCGGGGGGCTGGGAGGGAGCATGGCCAGGATGACTGGCCCAGCTGGCCGATGGGCTATTCCATACCATATGACGTCATGCTCAGCATATAAGGCTGGGCGAAGAAGAAGAAAGGGGGGGACATTCAGAGTGATGGCGTTTGTCTTCCCAAGTAACCGCTACGCGTGATGGAGCCCTGCTTTCCTGGAGATGGCTGAACACCTGCCTGCCGATGGGAAATAGTGAACGAATTCCTTGTTTTGCTTTGCTTGCATGCGTGGCTTTTGCTTTTTTTTTACTAAACTGTCTTTATCTCAACCCATGAGTTTTCCCACCTTTACCCTTCTGATTCTCTCCCCCATCCCATTGTGCAGGGAATGAGCAAGCGGCTGCATGGTGCTCAGTGGCCGGCTGGGGTTAAACCACAACAAAGATAAAACTAAAATACAGAAATACCAATCTATGATGGTATTGAGCATCATTTTGACACAACCATATATTACGCTAAGTAGTTTTCTTCTCTAGTTTTCTCAAAGATTGCCTCAAACCTCTGTGGTTTAGACAAACACAGGGCAGGCAATTTTTTGTCTCAAAGGTCTGGCTTTCAGTCAATCTCTCTCTCTCTCAATCTCACATACACAGAATCAAGACAGCTGAACAAATTATATTAAAATCTTTCCATTTCCAGTCTGACAGATGGAAGGTTTGAAAACTCTTGAAGCTAAGATTAAATCATTCAACCAAGGTAACAGTTCTGATGCTAAAAGGAGAAGATCCCTTTCCTTCTCCTCCCCTTACAGTCACACCATGTATTTCTGCAGCTCATCTCAAGTCATCCCTGGTGCCCACTGCTCCATGAGCAACGAACGTTAAACTACACGTTTACCCAAGGCATCTTCCAAGAGATTAATTTATATGTCAACCCCAAAAGCGTGATAAACATAGTACGCTACACAGTCAGCTAATCCCAGGTGAAGACTGATTACAGGAATGGTGGAAAGAATATACTTAAAAGTATACTGAGAATTTGCTGTTGTATATGCCTATAATGCCTGTAACATCCACTAGAGCGTCAGCTATGAAAATTTGCTCTTGTGAAAATACAGTTCTGGACTCAGACACATTAAGCTACCTTACAGGAAGGAAAGAAGGAAAACTGCCCCTTGGCTGCAGCTGTAATAACCTAGATGACCGAACAAATGAAACACAGTGTGTTTTTTAAAAACACATGTACAATCATGGAAGCCTGGGTACTCTGCAGAAATCTACATTTCAAGGAATCTTTGCATCAAGGAAGGCCCAACATATAACAGAAAACCAGAATACACACTTGCAAGACTGCAAGTTTGGTAAATAGAATAATAATAATAATATATAACTTGGAATGCTGGCAAAACTAGTAGAATTTAACTGAAGCATTAAAATCACACATCCTAAAGTCTTTAAAACTACTTTCACTTCTACTCAAAGAGAAAAAGGTTTCAACCTAAATAGCAAGGGTTATTTGTAGAAATGGTAGCTACAGAATTCGTTCTGCAAACCAAATCTATTCAGAGCAAAGTACACCTTTATTTCAACATCCTTCCTGGTTTCAGAAACATATGCCGGAAGAAAAATAATAATATATAAAGAAATGAATGAAGAAGCTTATAAAAAACCTCATTAATAGTTAATGCAAACCGAACATAAGGCATAACAACAGCAGCAAGAAAAAACACAGACCAATTTCAGACTTATGGATAAAATAAGAAGAAAAAACATGAGGTTCAGAAAACATCCAAGTCAACACAAGCAAGCAAGCAAACTACCATCTTTGGTAGCACAGAAATAGATTATATTTTAGTTATAATTTACTTCATCTTAAGATTTATTGATTGTACCTGTACTTCTTCCAGAAAAAGGAGCTATTCAAAATGGAGCAGAAACCACTTTAAAAGTAGCTATAACTGACTGAACTAACCTTAAACTAAATAAAAATTACAGTTCTGTAAAAAAAATTAGTTTTCTGACATTGCCTGTAAAATAATAGGCCTAAAGTAGAAATCTCTGAATATCTGTGCACTAGGTAAATTTCTCTCTGGAGTGTGATGTACAAATTATAGTCAGTCTGATTTAGTATTTTCTCTGCAGAGGCTGTTAACTGCTCAACCATAAAGGTTTAGTAGAATGTATGATGGATTTTACAACACTCCATATAACCTAAGACATTTCATCACACTTAAAAATGTTGTAAGTGTAATCTTTAAAAAAAAAATGCAGTTTAAAACTTGCTATTAATATATTTAGTCTATACATTATTTGAAGTGTTAAGGGATGTGGCATAAGAAGACAAAACACAGTAAAGCATTCACCTCAAAGTAGACATTTTACAGTCAGTTTCACAATTTCTGTGCATTAATGTACAGTGAAATGATGGACTATTATGTACTACTTAGACACAGAAAATTATTTGTGATCAATAATAATTCCAAATTACTAGTTTATGACCATAATTTTTCTTAAGAGGCAAGTAATTCTGAAAATACATGAACTTTTAAAGAAGTTTAAAGGGAAAATGGTAGAGAGCTACAGATCTCCACTCATCCCCATCTTGTTCAACTCTTCTCTAACAAGTGACTTTGCAACATAAATGATGTACCTGGAGATTTCATGAAGGGGCTTCCATAGCCCAACGTCATTGTTGCTCCGAATGTCTTACAAGCTCCAGATCAGGTTTTGGGTTTTAGGTTGGTTTTTTTTTTTTTTTCTTTTTAATGATCAAAAATACCTGCTTGGAACAAATGCATTTTGCTTGTCCAACCCTTATGTAACACAAAATAAAATGTGGAACTACCGCATGCAAACACACTCACAGCCACGGGAATTAACACAAAAAACTTGGAAGAAAAGGCAGCTGAAAAGTAAGTTCTAGAAAGCATTATGGACAACGTCTCAAGTCACCTTAAAGCAA